TAATTCGAGTTATTTTCTTTCAAATTCCTCAAATGCTCCATTATTTTGCCCTGTAAGTCGCTCGCGGTTGTTCCATCCACAGAAGGATACACTGTAATATCACTGCTTGAAATTTGAGACGAAGATGTTGGTGGTGTTTCCAATAGAGTTGTATACTTAGGTCCTCCGTTATGAGGCGATGATGGTAGCGGTTGAAAGCTATTGCTGAAATTCCCAGACTCCCCATGTTTCTTGAACGGCTTCGTCGCTACAGCATTCGCCTCATTACTCGATATTGGTGTGGAATAATATGTCGGGTGTGCTATTGTCAACGTTGAAGGTTTGCTATAACTCTTCGGAGTAGCTGCTGGCATTAGATTTTGCTTGGCTACTGCCGCCGTTGCTGCCGCGGTGATAACCTTCAATGGTTTTGTCAGCGGCTCATAAGCTTTTTCTAACATCATTTGGTTACTGGTGAGTTCGCTCTTGAGACTTTTAAATTTATTCCTTACCGCATCGGTTGCTTCAACAAGTTGGCGTTTGAGGTGTATTTCTGAAGCGATTTCACTACTAGGTGTGCTCATTGTGCTATACAAAGGTTGAATGAAGTCCATGCAGTTGCTGTTTTAGGGGTATATGAAGCAGTCGAACCCTTTCCTATAACGGCCCTCATGAATTTCACTATCCTTATCTATAACGAGAAACCCGTATCTATCTGTCCAACTTTGTGCACACATTTCTTGAAATTGTTTAAATGTTACATCTGGAGATACATGATCGGAATAAATGTGGTGTAGATTCATATCATCCTGCCTAAACATGATTATGAAGTTGGAATTATCGCGAATCAGCTGTTTCGGCACTCTCGAATACGTTTGTGCTAGATAAAAGCAATCCACATTTTTATGGCGCCCCATTGAGAAATATGATCTGATTACATCTTGTTTTTCACATATCACATCGTCGAATATGAAAATACTGTGTGGCTTCGCATCTTCCGGTTCAACAATGTCCACATTATTACTATATGTATAAAACCCCAGTCCCTTTATCGGTTCCAATACTTTCCGCAAGTACTCATACTTGGGTTGATACAACGATTTTGAATAGAGATAAACATTGGCGAATCGTAAACCATTATCGTTGGTGAGGAGGGATATCATAACATTCGTTTTGCCGCAATTTGATGGGCCGATAATGAGACTGCGTATAGTATTAGGTAGTAGGAATCCATGCCGACGTTGTGTAATTATACCATTTCCTAACCCTACTTTTTCATCGAAGTTGTCAACTCGCAATGTTTCTTGCTGCTGAACAATCTGCATTGTATGATGGTCAAATGCTATATAATGAATCGCAAACTCTGTGAATGTCATTTATATTATGAAGCTGAAGCGATACACATCGGCAAGCGATAACGGTGAAAAAAGTTTTCGAGGAAAGAGGACTGGCAGAGGATTTGTTAATACTTTAATTAATAAATTACCGGTCGAATTACATATTCCCGGCGGCTATCAGTATTGTGGTCCTGGAACAAAGTTACAGAAACGATTATCTCGAGGTGATCCAGGCATTAACCAATTAGATAGAGCGAGCAAGGAACACGATATCGCATATTTCAAGCATCCGAACGATTTATCTGCAAGGCATTCTGCCGATAAAGAATTGGAAGAATCCGCGTGGAAACGTGTTAAATCAAAGGACGCATCTGCAGGAGAGAGGGCCGGATCTTGGCTTGTTACCAATATAATGAAGGGAAAGAGGCGTTTTGGTATGGGATGCAGCAGCGGAGTGAAGAAACGTCGAGTGTCGAGGAAGAAGAAGAATACTACCAAGAGTGGGAGAAAAATTGCTTTTGGGTCCGGCATAGTGCACAAAGTTCGCAATGTGTTGCGACAAGTGGGAAAGAAGGGGGCACTCGCCAAAAACTTGGCCAAGACTTCTCTTATGGCGATTGGAGCTGCTAGAAAATTCGTCAAGATGGCTGGTGGAAAGAATAATATCCGAACACCTCGCATTATACCAATTCCTAAAGTTGGAGGAATTCTTCCACTCATACCCATTTTTGCGGGATTATCGGCATTGGGGAGTTTGGCTGCAGGTAGTGCTGGTATAGCTCGAGCTATTAATTCAGCTAAAGAGGGTAGGGAGCAACTCTCTGAAGCGAATCGTCATAATAGACATTTGGAGGCGATCGCTCTAGGAAAGATCGGTAAAGGAGTATATTTGAAGCCGTACCGAAAAGGACTGGGCATTTACTTGAAGCCGCAAAGTTCAAAAAACTAGCAGGGTTACCTCGAAGGGCGTTGACGGACATCGATTTATCACAATACATAGAGAAAATGGGTGTTCCAAACTTTCGAGGTATATTTATGAGAGATAATCTACCAAATTCTCCACCGCGCCACATAGAATCAGCCATTCTGAATCTCGATGGTATTCGAGGTAAAGGGACACATTGGGTTGCTTATAAAAAACGTGGTGGGGTAGTCGAATATTATGATAGTTATGGCGATTTGCCGCCACCCGAAGAGTTGGTGAAATATTTAAGGAGGGGATCAAAAGCTATCAAAATCGTATATAACTATGACCGTCAACAGGATTACAACACAGTCTGGTGTGGTCATTTGTGCTTGAAATTTCTCTCGTCGAAGAGTGGAAACTACGTATTATAATATGGATAGAAAAAGCATCAAACAAATGGGGCACGCATTATTGGCTTACTCGAGATTACGATCTTTGCTGAAGATGAGTGAGAAACAGCTCGCTGATATGCCGAAAGAGGTTTTAATCGGATGCGCTTCACATGAGATAGCTCTAGTGTGGGATAAATTACCTGAACAATTACGCAACGATCAAGATGTATCAAAATATCGATTTTGTGAGGATCACCACGAACACCGCCGCCAAGAGGATAGTGACCATTCCAGCGCAGATGTCAATGATGGGCCGATACCAAGAAAAATATTATGCTGCTTTTGTCAAATAGAAGATGTAAATGTGGCAACTAACAATAAATTCGATATTAATGCTTCGCCGAACGAAAACAAGAACATTCTTCATTGTTGCAGGCAGCAATCAGGTTGATACTTCTTACTACTGCTGCTGTATACACTGAAGCTTGTTGTTTGGTTTTTGCTGTGTTTGCTTTTCCAATTGTAAAAAGTTATGTCGCAAACATTCACCATTTCTGGAGATCGCAGTATCTTGAGTGCAGATTTTTTTCCACCAATCGAACTCGATGTGAGGAATACTTACGGCTTGGGGTTACACGGTTTCTATTCATACAACTCTATACTCAATATAGATGAGACAAATAACAAATTAGGTATTTGGTTCGAAGAGGGAAGCGTTGTTCTTCAGATACCACCAGGCGCCTATGAGATAGATGAAATCAATGTTTTGCATGAATCCACTTTACCTGTGAACATCATAAAGGTACGATTGATACGGGTTGATTGTAATATCACTACTGGAGCGTACCTCAATGGTGAGGAGGTTCACACGCTTTACGAGTTCGATGTCGATGTGGAGCCTGGATACAAACTCTCAAAGGAGCCGAAAAATATTATATATCTACCAATCAGTCCGACAGGGCGTCAGTCTATCGACAACATCACACTGAGAATTTTGGATGATAATGACCGATTAGTTGACTTTCGCGGAGAGAAGATTATAGTAAAATTGGAATTGAAACAGCTCGATTAATTATTACAACGGTTTGGAAAAATGGGTTTCAGCTTCGGAAACCAATCAAAACGTGTATCTCTCGCTGCAAACCCCACTATTCTACACACTACCGTTAAGAAGAAGTGTAAACGGGGTAGAGGATTCATTCAAAGACAGCTCACCGGTCAGGAAATGTGCTATCATCCCTCCACTAGCAATACCAGTCAGACGAACTAGACAAGCCCAGTCAGCACATCCTTTCGTTGTCAACCTCGAAAGATGTCGAACAGCACTTTATCAAAACTCCTTCATCCATAGAACGGCTAGGCTCTGGAATTCATTGCCTGAGGAAGTATTCCCAACAACATACAACCTACAGAAGTTCAAAAAAAATTCCAATACCTACCTCCTATCCCTATCCTCCCTAGGAACGCACGATGTTCTTTGAACATTATAGGGATTCCCTTTCGTGCGCTCCAAGCGATAAAAAAAAAAAAAAAAAGGTAGGACGTCATAGATTATCTGCGAGCGATATAAATTTTTTGGAATCTATTGGTCTGACAGTACGACAAAGACGACGACGAACGAGTAGAAATTAGTGAACAATGGTTGTCACAAGTTCTACTAGCTTACAATTGGAGGTGTTTGATGAACCAATTTTCGATCATTCACTAATTAGCCTACATGAGCATACATACAAACCATATGGTTCACCATCATTCAAGAATTCTGATGAAATCAGGATAGCTGTCAACTTTCAAGATTTGATACTCGATATTTCTGATAGCTACATATATATTGAGGGGAAATTCACACCAGATGATGCAACGAAATCCTGCTATCTATCTAACAATACCTTAGCCTTCCTCTTCGATGAAATTCGTTATGAAATGGGTGGCGAACAAGTATGTATGATTCGAAAACCAGGCATTACTACCACAATGAAGAGCATGATCTCTTATGGAGATTCTAACGCTAAATTTCTTGAAACAGTCGGATGGGGAATGGATAGCGAAAATCAGCCAATTCTAGACAAATCTAGTCACATATTCAGTGGAAAACTACCGCTAAAATATTCAATGGGGTTCGCTGAGGATTATAATAAAGGTATATTGAATGTGAAACAGGAGCTGATACTCATCATAGCTCGATCATTCAAAAACTGCTATATAGGAGAAGTTGATGCCAGTGTGGAGATTAACAAAATCGAATGGAAGATAGGACATATTATGCCATCGGATAAGCAGAGGTTGAAATTACTGAACCGTCTCAATAAAAGTTCTACAGCAAAAGTGAAAATTGCATACAGGATGTGGGATCTGTATGAATTACCGTCAATTCGTGAAACATCTTCAGACATTTGGGCTGTTAAAACCACCAATAGTCTCGAGCGACCAAGGTACATTATCATAGGCTTCCAAAATTCTGGTAACACAGATAATAGATCCAAGGATACCACCCAATTCATTCATGCGGGAGTCAACAATATTCGACTGTATTTGAATTCGGAAGTTTACCCTCATGAACGGTGGAATTTGGATTTTGGAAAAAAGTTAGATGCTGTAGCCTATTATGCATACGATAATTTCCAACGAAGCTATTATGGTAAAGACATGAGCGAACCAATGATGAGTATTGAGGAGTTTAGAAAAAATCCGTTATTCATCATAGACTGCAGCCATCAACCGGACACATTGAAATCTTCAACTGTCGATATCAAGTTGGAGTTTGAGACACGCCAATCGAAATTTCCATCTAATACCAAGGTATATGCGCTCATTCTTCACGATGCATTTTTGACATATAGCGCACTAGATGGTTCAATACAGTTGGGTGCTCCTTGAATACACTCTACAGATCTGGAGCAAATTCTAGCCTCCGTCCACCTCCACCACCACCGCCACAGCCGACCATGAGCATTCGAAGCCTATAATTGTATTAGATCAGTTTTTTCATTATTATTATTATGTTCATTATTATTTATTATCATCATGATTATTATTATCATTATTATTATTATCGACACATGTATCTGCACTAAATTGAATAAAAGTAAACAAATGTTTTACAAATCATCGTTTTTATTTCTTGATTGATAGACAATGAAAAATGCGAGCTCATCATCATCATTCCATAATTTATATATATACATGCAAATGATAATAGTATGATTGAAGCATCTCTTAGCAATATCATCATTTCGATTCTTCTTCTCCTTCCTCCTCGTTGTCGGATGATTCTGGAATTACCCCCAAGTTGTACTTCCGTATCAGGCTGTTTAGTAGGAAATCAAAAATTCCATACAGGAATTGGTCCAAGTCCTCTCCCACCATTGCTTCAAGAAATTCCTCCAAAGTGAAGCTACCATATTCGAACCGGGCGCATAACATATAACCCTTTCTATATTGTTCGGCTTGTTTACAGAGTCGTTCAACTTGTTCTCGATCGAAGCATATGCTCAAATCATAATTTGTCGCATGCATTGCATCACGTGACAAATCAGAGAACTGACATTTCAACCTGCTCACTGCTGATTTGATGTCTTCCGCTGCCGGCCAGAATTGACTAGAATAATACATCCACATGTTGGGGAACAGGAGTCTGTAAATGATAAAAAAAAGTTTGGTAATGATGAGATTATTTGGGAGATTTGTCTTTCATTGAATTCTTTTTGGAACCTAATTTATTACTTACCGCAAACGGTACGATCTGCGTTAGTGGCTTGTGTTGATGTAATAATAATTATCATATAATTTTTAAACCCTTTTCACTAAACTATACTAAAAAAACCTATCAGAAATAATTAAGTAGAATAATTCCGAATTAATTTTGCTTGAAGTCAAACTTGATGAGAGCCCTCGTTTTTGCACCTACATATAATGGCTCACTCTGGCCCAAATATGCTAGAGTATAAAGACCATTTGAAGAATTCATCTCATCAATGTCGCTGTCACTCAGCAACTCTACAACTCTTTTGGGCAACCAACATTTCAGACTAGCCTCAGTTTCTTCATCGTACAATATTACAGAACCGCTCCTACCAAACCTGGTTCCACATAGTGATATTTTCTTGACCACATAGCTTTTATTCAAGAGTAGTGATGAGATAACAGTTTGCTTGATAATATCATTGTCTTCGTTAATTCGATTATTTATCGTTAACAAATCAATTTTAGGAGCTGCCATTATAAATTCTTCTTTGTTAAGTGAAAAGAGGTGTAAAAAGTATATAAATAATTTTTACTCACATATAACAGTTCACGTACACTTTTATTGCAAACACTTTATATTCCCAATCAATTTGAGCGGGTATATTTTTTATGTGCGAGTTGGTGGTGCGTATCTTCCGTATTATTAGGAGAACTATGCTCTCGCAGACGATACAATGATGTATTTATAGGAACTGGGATATGTGACGTAACACAGCACCCCACTTCTACCAAAACGACCTCGACCAGCCTACTCCCATTTTCAAGGTCGCACACGCTTTCACCTCCCTCTCCAAGGTCGAGGTCTCTCTCTCTCTCTACAACTCAAGGTCACTCGTTCCCAAGGTCACATATGCGAAGGTTACTCGTACAACCTTCCTTCAAGGTCACTTTGTCTCGC